CCCCCGAGCAACAGCTGCTCCAAGGCTGGCATTGGGTAAAGGAGGTCACTTGGGAGCTGCTGCAACTTGTTTTGACTGAGTGAAAGAACTTTCAATCCAGACAAACCTTCGAAAGTCTCAGACTCTACACTTTGCAAACCCATCCGACCCAGGTCCAAAAGTTGCAAGTCTTTGAGCGGCCAAAAGATCTTCTTGGGCAAAACATGCAAGGGATTCCCAGAAAGCGACAAGCGCTGCAAGAGACGCGAAGACTCAAAGGCACCCTCTGTGACATTGCTGATGTTCTTGTCGCTTAGACTCAAATCTTTAAGGCGGAGAACACCTGCGAGGCCACAGCTTTCAAGCTGCTGGAAGCTACCCATCTGAGAGCAACGGCATGGAAAGCATCCGAAGTCTTTTGAGTGACCAGGGTAGGAGTTGCTTGAAAGCAGCAAACTGAAGATAGCTATCAGCAAGACAGGTGAGTACCTACAGAGTGATCACTGACCAGAAGATACACAACAAAGAACAGAACAATAACAGCAAAGGCAAATGCAAAAGGGCAAGACTTAAAGCCGCAAGGTTCTATGATAAAACCAGAAAAGGATAGAAAATATAATCTTGAGAATGGGAAAGTAAAAACATTGCCTGTTGACACACCAGGTGCAGAGCTTTGCAAACTACCTTGCATTTCTTGAGACGAAGAAGATTTGCTCTGCGCAACAGTGATGAAGTAGAGCCTTGCAGGCTTGGTGGCATTGTTGAATGCTCTACCCCTTCTAGTGCACGGCAAACGGTACAAACATGCGCAACCGAATAGTAGACAGCAAAATAGCCCAAGAAGTCCGCAGGAAAGGCGAAAGCTGGATCCAATTCCGCAGTAAACTTCACTGCCGCTTCATCACCGAAATTCCCTCGTATTTCCTGCTCCAACTCTAGCTCATAGATGGCAAGCAAGATGAACACGAGGTACGTGATGGTGTAGGCCATATCAAGAACGGCATCCATGATTGCCCCCCCCCCAGTCGCACCCACTTCCTTGAGGGGTAGGCAAACAAAACGCTTGGATAGAGGCTGTTCAGGCAAAGGAAGCCGACAAAAGTCCAAAAGCAACGCGTGAAAACATCCGAGAGTTTTGATTGCTCAAATGAAAGGGATACGATTCCACCCAAGAGTTGAAGCTTTCCAAAAGCCTGGAGCAGCACAGATAGAAACTGTAGTATGGCCACCTTCATGCTGTAGAACCGTCCTCGAACACCAAAATACTTCTCATACAGCAGCTGAGTGGGTTTCAGCTTCCGATATTTTGCCTGAAAGCTGCCCAAGTCCCTCACAAGAACAAGTATCAGCCCTAGATATGGCAAGGAAAGGACAAGGGATGGCAGCCAATTGAACCAGTGCTCTTCAGGTAACTCATCAGGGTGCTCAAGCTGCTTCAAAGCAAATACTTGATTGAACAGCTGCACTGTTGAACTGAATGATGACGGGCTGTAGCGAACAAAGTATTGTCCACCAAGGTACATTGCTGCGAACAAAGCAACGACACGCATGGAAAACACGGCCGTGACCAGCAATGGATGCCTGCGCTGTCGTCCATGGAAGGCTTCACGGCGCGCATCGCTTAACCCGAGTTGCTGAGACAGGCTGTGCACTGCATCCACTTGCAGCTGCAGCTCACGCAAGGGTGCGACGAAAAATCGGAGGGTGGCCAAATAGCCGTCCACCCGGCAGACGAGCTCCGAACATCTCAGTTCGCTATGGGCAAGGGCGAAGGAATCGTACATACAGGCGATCTCCACACCACTCAAGTCATCACCCTCAACTCTTGTTCGAATAAATTGCCAGGCATGTGACAGGCTGTCGAAATCGGCAAACGTCACTTCGCAGTACAACAGATCCAGAACCTGATTGGGATCGCCTCTCTTTGCAACAGCTTCTTGTGCCAATGGGAGCGACTTCAACACTGGCTGCACCCTGTGACTCAACGCAAAGCCTGGCTGAGCATCCAAAAAGTCACGCAATGGCAGGCACAGTTCGCGGTTGAACTTCTCAAAG